CGTTTCGGTCAGCCATGATGGCCGAGGTGTTGGTGGCTGAAAGTCAATGGGTAGTTTAGTATCGAGCCCAAGAAGCCAATTCGCAGCGTCTTTGTTCTCTTGAAAATCACCACCAAAGGTAAATTTAATGATGCCGCCTTCCCAACCCTGAGGAGGATCGAGACCGTCGTATAAGCCCATGATGGAGCCATCTGTCAAGGGTCCTTGAAGAAGCCCATCAGTACCTCTAGCAGCGGCATAGATCTGCCGGAACCGCTTCGCAGATTCTTCTTTCTCAGCCTTGGATTCTCCACCAAACCGCAGGCCTTCGACAGTCTTTGCACTTGAGGCGAAAGGAAAGACCTTGATGCTCTGAACCGCAGTCTTGGGGAGTTGCTGTGGAGCTGCTTGAAGCTTTACTATCCCGCCAACCATGCCAGAACACCCAAGACTTGCACAAAGGGGTGACGAAAGAGCAACCGATTGACTGTTGGGGGGGTCAATCCATGATCTAAGATGAGCAATGACTTTTGTGGCCGCAGTCGTCCCAGCAGGAACGCCGCCTTCTTCTGTTTGAGGCTGTTGCAGACCAGCTGGTCTAATGACATCGACCGCGACATAGTTGACCCCTTTGAAGGCTTCGCCGGAGACAAGGTCATGATCAACCCAAACACTCAAGTCCTGAACCAGGGGCCCTTCATCAAACCATTCTTCACATGAGCTTCGGTCAAGACCACGCAGAAACATGGTAGGTCTTCGCTCTTCCTTGGTGCTTCGCCGGCGCACCGTGCTGGTCGCGCTTCGTTTGGACTTGGAAGTGCTGGCTACGCTGCGGTGGTCGCCCGAGCTGTGCGAGCTCTTTTGCCTCGTCTTTGGCGCAACGATGACCTCGGCATCGGGAGATATCTTTGCGAATGGCAAGTCGGCCGGGGGCGGAGGATCCAGCGAAATGACTTTGATATTTGCGGTCGATGTCGGAGATAGATGCAGTGACAACGCATGGGGCTCGACGGGGTTGTCGCCAATTTTGTATAGCGGGTTCGGGAGCGCTCGAATTTGAGAGATGAGATTCAGTTCGAGGAATGTCGCATGTAGCTCAATGATCTCCCAGTCCTCCGGTGTAAGGGGTTCAATGTTGATCGTATGCGCCAGCGGAGGATCGAGATGAATGGTGGCCGTGATCTTCTGCCCTTCTGATATACCTAGTGACTTGGCTAGTGTGGCATCGAGTTCGACAAGCTGAACCTCCTGATCGCGGGATGACCGCGAGCTGTTGAGTCCATCACGGGTCCCTGGAGGAGCGGTCCTCCTCTTGCTGGGCATGCCTGTCCATCCTACGAATATGGAGCGCTGCTGGGAGCCGGCTCCAGTCGGCGAGGCCTCACGATAGCTGAGCTCAATGATGACATTTTGTGCAGGCTATAAGTTATAGTCAGAAAATCGCCAGAGAAAATCAGTGAAGAGGAAAGTCCCTACAGTGTTGACATTGACTAGGAGGGAGACCAGTGATGTAGGAAGGTTGACCAAACAGCTTTTGAGGTGAGATAGGGAGATTTCCGCTGGGACGGACTGCGCATTTCGTCTGGGAGGCATGATGCGCTTGAGCAATTGAGAAGACTCGAATTCAATTGAGTCGGCCTCTTGCGGGAGGATGTTATTACTTGTCGGTGGGAAGAAGCAGAAGACTTCAGCTCAGGTGCCGAAACATTTCCGATCTGGAGTCCCTTTCTCGTCCCGCAGCCGAGGTCCCTACACGTGCTCGGTGATCATCCCCGTCCCTTTCCCCAGCTTTATGGCTTCAGTGGGTGGCCCATGCTTTCCTGCGATACCGCTGTGGCCGTGGCTGCAGCCGTGGCTGAGGTCAATTAAGCTCCATGTGCGGCTGTGCGTCGCGGAACGCGAAAAGACGCGTTCGATGTGCGCGCTTGCAAGGCAGGGGCCCATCGCAACCACCGTTGCCCCCCTGTGACTGGCCCCGAGTCCACTCAATTTGTGCATCGCGATCGCATCTCTCCATTCACAGCAACGCACGAACTCGAATTACAGCGCTCTTCAGATTTGAGATCCTTACAAGATTTCCTCACAATGGCGCTGCGCGAGTTCAAGGCCCCTGTCAGCTATGAGAAGCAGCAACGTCAGTAGATTTACTGCTCCTCCTGCGCTTAGCTCCCCGCATAAGCTAATCATCGGTATAGATGCTTTTCAGGAGTTCTTGACGGGATTCAAGACATCGCCAGAGCAAACCATCACAACTGCACTAGGCAATATCACCATCGGAGAAGATGACCTCGACGACGAGTATGATTTAATGGACGAGGATGGGCAAGATGTGAACCGGCAACAAGCGAAGGAGCGCCGTGCTCCTCAGTACAAGTACAAGAATATGCTGCAGCAACTCTCGGATCGAACGATTGACGAGGCGACGATTGATCTTGACGATTTAGCAACCGTATGATTTCCGATACTCCCTTCTCCAGCAAAGTACTAACAAACGCGTAGTGGGAGAATCAAGCGTTTGACGGTGAGGACAGTATGAGACTTGTTGATTCCATCGAGATGAACACAAAACACTACGTCGAGATATTTTCCCGAGCTGTGGACGAGGTCATGCCTCCAATGAGCGCAGATGTAAAGTGAGTGCGCAAGTGACCTAAATGTTGATGCACCACATTGACCAGCGAATAGCTTCAAGGACGATGTTCTCGACGTATTGATGGCTCGACGACAAATCCGAAACCGAGAACTAGACGAAGCCGCTGAGCGAGACCCTACTGCTGCAGATGACAAGTTCCCTGCCGAGCTCACTCGCAGGTACACCCTCGTGTTCAAGCCCCGGACTAGCACCTCAAGTCAATCCTCAAAAGCTTTGGCGGTTCGACAAGTGCGCGGCGAGCACTTGGGTCATCTTATCACCATTCGTGCGATCGCCACTCGAGTTTCTGACGTCAAACCCATCGTTCAAGTCAGCGCCTACACTTGTGACAGATGTGGCTGTGAAATCTTCCAGCCTGTTACTGACAAGCAATATGGCCCTTTGACTATGTGCCCCTCTGAGGACTGCAGGCAGAACCAGGCTAAGGGTCAACTCAACCCTTCGTCAAGAGCCTCAAAGTTCTTGCCTTTCCAGGAGGTCAAAGTCCAGGAGATGGCCGAGCAGGTCCCAATTGGCCAGATTCCTCGAAGTCTTACCGTCCTCTGTCATGGCACTCTTGTCCGCCAGATCAACCCTGGTGATGTTGTCGATATCTCAGGCATCTTCCTTCCCACCCCTTATACAGGTTTCAAGGCGATGAAGGCTGGCCTGCTCACTGATACTTATCTCGAGGCACATCACGTTCTCCAGCACAAAAAGGCGTACAGTGAGATGATTGTCGATTCCACACTGGTCCGCCGGATTGACAAGTACCGCCAGACTGGCCAAGTCTACGAACTGTTGGCAAAGTCGATTGCTCCCGAAATCTTCGGACATCTTGATGTCAAAAAGGCTCTTCTCCTTCTGCTTATTGGTGGTGTGACGAAGGAAATGGGAGACGGAATGAAGATTCGTGGCGACATCAACATCTGCTTGATGGGTGATCCTGGTGTGGCCAAGTCTCAGCTTCTCAAGTACATTTCAAAGGTCGCTCCTCGTGGCGTCTACACTTCAGGTCGTGGAAGCAGTGGTGTCGGTCTCACGGCTGCCGTTATGCGTGATCCTGTCACGGATGAAATGGTTCTCGAAGGTGGTGCTCTCGTCCTGGCCGATAACGGAATCTGCTGTATTGATGAGTTCGACAAGATGGACGAGACTGACCGTACTGCCATTCACGAAGTAATGGAACAGCAAACAATTTCCATTTCAAAGGCTGGAATCTCAACAACCCTTAACGCCCGCACCTCTATTCTTGCCGCCGCTAACCCTGTTTATGGACGATATAATCCTCGAATCTCCCCTGTCGAAAATATTAATCTCCCCGCCGCGCTCTTGTCCCGTTTCGATATCTTATTCCTGCTTCTTGATACCCCTACGCGCGAAACAGATGAACAGCTTGCCAAGCACGTTGCGTTTGTACACATGAACAGCCGACATCCCGATATCGGCACGGATAATGTTGTCTTCAGTCCTCATGAAGTGCGATCCTACATCGCCCAAGCAAGGACATACCGACCTGTCGTTCCTGAAACCGTCTCTGAGTACATGATCAAGACATACGTACGCATGCGAGACCAGCAGCAGCGCGCTGAGAAGAAGGGCAAGCAGTTTACCCACACAACCCCTCGTACCCTCTTGGGTGTTGTCCGTCTAGCCCAGGCCCTGGCCCGACTTCGATTCAGTAATGAGGTCACTCAAGACGATGTTGACGAGGCTCTCAGACTAGTCGAGGCTAGCAAAGAAAGTCTGAACAATGATCTTGGCACTGGTCGAGCGCACGCGGATCCCAGCAGCAGAATTTATAATTTCGTCAAGCAGCTTGCTGATGCCGGCCAATGTCGTCCTGAGGATGCCGATGGCGAGGACGAGCTCGGTATTGAGCTGAGCATGACGCAATTAAAGGCTCGAGTCATCGCCCGGGGCTTTACCGCCGACCAGTGGTCCAACGCTGTGCAAGAGTACACCACCATGGATGTAAGTTTTTGAAGAGACACTCCTTGGTATATGAACAAATCACTAACTATCGTTAACAGATCTGGCAAACCACCAGGAATGGTGCAAGACTGGTATTTGTTAACAACGAACCCGATAACGACCAAGAGGATGACATGGACTTTTGAGAGCTGGGCATGTAACGAAGTGAGATGTTCTATGTAAAGGTCTGGCGTTTTGGCATATGAAGGTAGATGAGAATAGTCTGCTGGTAGAGCTCTGTCAATGATGAGAATTAGGCATCAAGTTTCTACCACAACAAACTCCAACCAATGACTGAACTCAGCTGTAATACACATCACAAAGCTTTAATCGTTCTTGTAGCACAGGTGGTTTGCAAAGAAGCCGTGCATATTTCGGGTTTCAAACACGAGTATTGTACATTTCTAGAATACATCTACAGTCTCATTTGCATCAATGCAGCACGCTCCATCTCACCAACATTACCATGGCCGCCCACGGTCCACTTCTCGGATACTGTCCTTGAATTGAGAACATGTCGGAAAAGCCCGCTGGCGCCCCAGTATTCCATTAAAGAGCGAGCCTCGTCCTTCGTGATACCTTCAAGACGGAGGACCCAGCTGTTCTTCAGGGCCTCGTACACACGCTCGTCGTATTTACGCTCGTAGGGGTCAGGCTTGGGGATCTCACGGCCCGCCTGGCCAGCCTCGAGCTGCGAGAGAACAAGCTCTTGTGAGGGATGGTGATGGGAGTTGTTCTCTGAGGTAGCGGCGATGACAGCACCGCCATTAGGGAGAGGAGTCTTGCCAGATAGGGCGTCGATGAAGAGGCGGACAAGAGCCAGTTCATGGGCATGGACCTCTTTAAACGAGGGGTCTCTATAATCACTGATCTTGTTGATGTGGGCAAGACCGTCGAGGGCAAAGAGTACCGGGGGTCGCCCAGGCAGTGTGAGCTCAGTCCATAGGGCAAGGAGAGTTGGCCATGCGTACTCAGCCTCCTTTGCGCTGAGAGCCAGATCAGCGAGTGTAGCGCCCTCCTTGAGGTTAGTGAACTTGGACCAGTCCTTCTCGATGTTGAGCTTTTCAAGAACTACACGGTTGGCTCTGTAGAGGCTCTGTATCATCTTGAGACAGAAGATGGGTTGGGAGAACTGCATTGGCTCAGTCTCGGGAATGGGTGAGTATTCAGTGTTTCCGTTGGTCAGATCCTGACCTGTTATGGTTAGTTAGAGGCATAAAGACGTGAAGAGGTCCTTTGGGGTTATGTACCTTCGGGGACATGGAATACCACCCAGTTGTTAAGAAGCGCATATGCCATAGCCTGCAGCATGGCCATACTCTTTCCAGACAGTTTGCTGCCCGTCAACACACACTTAAGAGCCTTCTTTTCCTTGGCCGATAGCTCAAGTTTCTTCATCAACTCTACCGTCTCTTTGCGCTGCAGCACATGAGGTTTTCTGAATAGGTTCCATGTCTGTGTCGTCTTGAAAGCCTCGAGGGCACGGAGATGATCCACAACCTGGTCAGGAATAGCAAACATCTTTCCAGCACTCTCAGCCTTGGTCATGTTACTGGCATCCAGATTTTCAAGGCCTGCGACAGGTAGAGCACTGTTATTGCTCAGCTGGATGCGCTTTCGGAAGGCCTTTCGCTCGCCAGGCTGAGGTTTTCGAACAGGCGTCACATTGGCACGTTTCTTATAGGACTTCTTGACCTTCTGGGGAAGATCTCGGCGGCTCTTGATTGCCGGAGGAGCTGAGACGGCGAGAGCAGCGGTTGAAGTTGAAAACGGGGCGAGGAGGACCGGTTGAATTCGAGGAGCCCTGGGAATAGTCGGCCTCATGAGGCATCGAAGCGAATTGGCGGATGCCATTGCTCGCAATAGTATCCCAAATTGGCGTCGGGAAGGCTCTTCGTAGATATCGATGATGAGAACGACGTCTATCGTAGAATTGACGCCAATTGGGCCGGTTCTAGGACGCTCGTCTCGAGGCCGTCGTCAGCTGAAGTTGAATGCCACTTCGAAAATCTCGGGTGGATTAAACCACACACCTCAAAGGTACTGGGTAAGAGAAAGATTGGGGCTCTGTGATTGGCTTATACACACTGTATCGGAAAAACGGCTGCCCACTGATCCGACATGCCTTATCGGTGCAGGAGGACCTCAGAAAAAAATGTTCCAGGAGCAGTACGACAGCAAGAGAGCGCATCGCAACGACAAAACCGTTCATCCTTCGGCAAGTTTATCACGATTTCCAAGAGACCTCAACATCAGCCTCTATAAATACTATTTGCTTCCACGAATATCACAATGGCGCTCCCAAGCTCTAAGCCAAAGCTGCCTGTCGCAGTCGAGAAGCCCACGCCCTACACATTCGATCTCGGCCATCTTCTCGCAGAGGACCCCAACCCCGTCACTCTCGACCGCGATAATCTCGAGCAGTCCCTCGCAGAGCTTGCCCGCGACGGCGCCCAGTCTCTCATCAACCAGTTCCTCTCCACCTGCCCTCTCAACTCCACCGCCGAGGGCGTCCTTCTCACCCTTCCCGCCCCGAGCACCCGTCTCCCCCGCGAGAAGCCCGTTCCGCAGGCCAAGCCTCCTACTAAGTGGGAGCGCTTCGCTGCTAAGAAGGGCATTAAGCCCAAGACTCGCGAGCAGCGTCGCAACCTTGCCTTCGACGAGCAGACAGGCGAATGGCAGCGCAAGTGGGGATACAAGGCTCTCAACAAGAAGGGCGAGGACTGGCCCATTGTCGAGGTTGATATGGAAGCCGAAAAGAAGCGAAAAGAGGGTACCTCAATTCGCGCCGATGGTCGAAGAGAGCGCAAGGAGAGAATCAAGCGCAACGAGCGAAAGATGCGCAAAAACCAGGCTCAAGGCACAGGAAAATAGGCGGCGACAGCTTTGAAGGGGAACGGGATTGGTCGGCAATTTATTGTCAGCCTTGGTCAAGACTACTGCTGTTGAGCATGGAGCGGCGTTCAGGACATTGGCGTTTCGAAATCGGCATGTTAAAAGCTAGGGACTTGGGATGGTTTAGACGTTCAGCTTTCGAAGAAAAGAATGAAAAGGAGAAGGCGCTGCAGCTGTCAATCTCCATGCTGTCAGGTACTCACCAGACCATGTCTAAATGTTGTCCATGTACCCCGAATGTGCGTCACGACGAAATACAACAACAAAGGATTCTCCTCCCACGTGACAGTTGATGTTGATGAAGATTATACAATTAATGGATAAGCGATTTCCGGTAGAGTATATTTACCAATGTCCAGGCACTATCTACTAAGTAGGAGGTAACCTCTGCCAATTTCAACTCTGCTACCCAACAACCCCCTCTCCTTTCCCAGCGGTTTTGAGTCATCAGAAACAGATATACTCGATATTTTGGTAATCTGCATGCTCTTCTCTTGCTTGGAGTGCCTTCATTTCACTGCAGCATGACGGCCAAACACGATTCTTATCAAGGCAGCTTGCCTCATCAGAGTGCTCGATAGCGAGCTACATAATCAAATTGGGCAAGGACGCAGTATGTTTGTCAATAAATCATCAGAATCAGAAACGCTGGAACTTCAAACAAGATCCCCCAATAACAAAGGGTGCAAGACACCCCTGGACGATATTCTCCTCAAAATGCATCATGGGGTATACCAAACAATAGAAAAGACAAAGTGTAGGTCAAGAACATCACTCGCTTGGTGCCGTGGATTGGTGAGCCAAATTTAAAGCATTCCTTGAATGTTTTGCTCGATTGCACATTGCCAAACCGTGCCAAACTGTTGGACCACTGTCCAGAAACGCCAGGCGTTAGTAGCAACCAAAAATGCGCAATCAAATCGAATGGCAAGGTCATAAGGGCGTGCCATCATGAATGGGCTATCGCCGAAGGATGAAGTCAGACTCTACATAGCAGAGGCCGTGGTTGATAGTTGACACATTTACCCTCAGTTGAGGTAGAGTCGCAAGGAGGCGCTGAGAAAGATTAGGCACTTGGTGCATTCTCATCCCTCAGGGGCCTAAAGACCTCTATTTCTTTGAGGTATGGTCTTTCTGCCTCAGCTATCCTTTTGGCCACCTCCATGGGTAGCCGGGCGTGAATATGCTCGGAATACAGCGTAACGTCAGGATATCTCTGACTTCAGAAGCCGAGGGGAGATAAAGGCATTATGGGCGACAAAGGCCGCAGTTCGCTCGAGGTTCTGCCCAACTCGCGGTCGCTATTGATGGTCAAGGCAGTTGGGGCAGTCGATTCGTTCGAGACGACGCTGCCGTTGGAGGGGGATATCTGGAGCTGTTTCTTCTTCAGCTTTGGTTGCTGGTCGTTGGGGCTGAGGCGGCCTGACTGCTTGCTGCTCCCCGAAGAGGACAGTTGTCGTCGGTCGTCCTCCGACTCATCTTGTGGTCTTGGCTTCGCTGGTTCAGCGAGACCCCTTGGCGGAGGCTGGTCGAAGATCATGTATTCCTCCTCGATATACTTGGCCTCGTTCTTGCATCCTCTCCAACAGTCGCGCCAGTCGCACACCAAGAACTTAAAGCAGAACGCGTCGATCTTCATGCACGGCTGGAAGCAGATGCACAGGTTCCTAAAGTCCATCTTGTTTTTATCCGAGTGAGCTAAGAGAAGACTGAGGTGGCATGTAATGGCAAAAAGCAGATAATAGTTGAAAGGGGAGAGATTCGAGAGCTCTTCGATAAGTAGCTCAGGAACTTCCTCAGCACCTGCGCATTCTCTCGCGATTCGATCCTGTGCCGCTTTAGGAAACAGCTCGTCGGGAAGTTCTCGTAGCCAAGCCTTTAGCATCGAACCAATTATGTTGATGTCGTAAAGGTCGCGCTCGTTGAACAGGTTGACATCGAATTCTGTTCCGAGTTAAGTTGAGTTCCTTCGTTTATCAGGAAGATGGTATAAACTTACGTTCATCGAACTTGCGCTGCCATTTCTTGATCTGAGGCCCACTGCCCGGAACACGATAAAGACCCTCGACTTCGCATCCCTTGTAGTTTAGATAATCTATTGCTCGCCAAGGAAAGGCAGGCATCCAGAACTCTGTCTTATCCCTTGAATCCTCGAGGCGCTTTGATATTCTCGTCAATCGTGTTTGTTCAACTAGTGGTAAGTTGATAACTTTTACTTGATAATGTTCATCGTCAAGAGCATCCTTATCCTCTCGACCACCACGCCCACTTTTGTTGAAAAAACGGTCACTCAGCATGCCAGCGGCACGGGTACCAGAGCTCTTGAGGCCATTGAAAAAAGAGCCTCCGTTCTCGTTCAGGGAGGACGGTTGGGTCTTTGATTCCTTGTCGCGTTGTGCCCTTCTGGTAGAAGACGAATCTCTCGGCGCGCGGTCCTCGGATCGATTTCGGACTGCAGAGTTCATCATGTCTCTGATAGAACGATCACCGCCTTGGTTCGCAGTCTTGTACGGCACAGAATTCAGGTGCAGTTCAGGTTCGTTGCCTTGACGAGGAGAAGAGGCCGGGTTCAGCTCGGGGCTGGCGTCTTCTTTGTCGCGATTGGATCGGCTGCGGTTCAGTAGACCAAAAGGCTTCGACCTCCCTTTCTTTGTTGAAGACTGAGGTGAAGCGGTATCGTAGTCGCCAGCGGATGATAAGGACAAGTCGCTTCGAAGAGGATCGGCGGAGACAGGTTTGTGTAGAGTATGTTCGGTGTATGAGGCACTTGGGCTTGGATCGTGTTTGTCTGCATCATGTCAGCAGTTGGTCATGGACCTAGCCTGCGCGCGATGGCTAAAGTATAACGGATCGTCCCAACTAAGCTTGGCTCAATGTTTACATACCTCCGTGTCTTGGTCGATTGGATCCGTCACTGCCCCTCGACAATACCTGGGCTCTCGTCTCGGTTTGTTTACGGTGGTGGGCATGCGATTGAGACTGACTTGAAGATTTGTTTTGCTTATTAAAATGGAAGAACCCGTTTTTAGCACCTTTCTTTAGTTCGCTTGGGATTGGTTGTTGTATCGATTTAGACTGCGTGGTAACCGCAGTTGTTGCTAGTGGATCAGGTAGATGGTCTTCAAGTGTAGAAGAGATAGAGGGATAGGTCGAGGGATCCTCGCGCGTCTGCCGTAAAGGCTGTCTTGGTACGGATTCTTCCCTACTCCATTCGGTAGATGTTGTGGCAGTTGAGGGCCGTTGTACAGGTATTGGCACCGGTGCTGATGGTTGTGGTTGTGGCGTTGACGATGATGGCTTCCCCTCTGCAGTTGCGTCTGCTAATGCAGATGTCGTGTGTGACGCTTTCCTGTGCTTTCCACCTTGGTTTCTCAAGGGTGAAAACCGACTATGGAAAGGAGAGGAGCGGGGAGACCGGGGCGATTTGGACTCGACTGGCGACACACCTGGAGAAACGGTTTCAGTAGTCGGCGAATCGTCTCTACTGCGTAAAGCAGCACCAGATTCAGACTGGGATTGTGCTTGGGCTTGGGCCTGAGGCGAAGTCTGAGACGAAAGCGCCAGCGGCTGCGGTGCCGCCTTACGACCCATTCTGAATCCTGTCTGCTCACGGCGCAGTCTCACAATCGTTGTCGCAGACGTAGACACAAACGCGGGCCCTGCTTCGCAAACTCCCACTCCCACGGTGGGCGAAACGGGAGGGGGTTCAAACAGCGGGCCAGGGGGGGATCGGTCTGTTGTGCCTCTATTCTTCAATCCGATCTTGTTGCGGGTCACAGTCGGATAATTGAGCAAGACCAGCCTGTGAAGGCAGGACCTCAAGCCGGAGAAAATAGATGTGGTCAGGGCAGTAGAGAAGGGGAATTTGACGATTGGTGGCCGTTGAGGAGGTGGGCGCGTCAACGATTCTAGTGGTGGTGGTAGTGCTGGTTGGCACTGTTGTGTAGCTAGGTCAGGGG